ATTTCCCACGATCGTCTCTTGAAACTGAGAAGACAGGTGTGACAAGGTGTATTGATCTTCAGTTGTGAGTCTTTTGTATCTGCAGTCTGAGGTGCATAGTGTGTGTGTGCGCCTGCAGACACTGAGTGTATGTTTGTGACGAGGATTCACCAGTGGTAGTTCGGGCATGAGTGTCTCTCAGAGGTGGGGGTCCCTGATCAGAGAGGGTCTCCAGGGCGATGCCTCAGTCAAATGGCACAGTCGTCCATGTGATCACCCAAACATAAACAAGGCCTTTATCAGACACACACACAATTGTCTCATAATGAAGGACAAACATCTCTCTGTTTCTAAATGTTATATTATCCATAAATAATAAGCCTTTATTAACTTCAAATGAACATTTGACTGAGTTATTCCAGGTATATGCAGGTATTGTTATCTTGCACAGTCTGACAGTCAAATCATCAAATCATCAAACAATTTGGATTTTTCTATTACACAACTGCAAAACAGATACTGTTCATAAAAAGTCCCTGTCCCTTCAAGGAATTTCTAAAGACAGATACAGATTTCAGAGCTAAAGAGACACTGCTTTCAAAGTCTATGTTGTTATAAAATCAAACAAACATGAAGCTAACAACTACATAAACAGCTGGGTGTGAATTTGGTTGCTTCTTGCAGATTTCACAAACTATATTACATCTTTTTAGCAGGGAAGTTAATTTAACAAATATCAAAAGAACTGCATTAATTCACACAAGTATCCAAATGATGTGTAAATGCAATTTCCTGTTTTCAAAAACCTGGATGAAGCCATAGGCTGGTTTTGAGAAACGTTGATGTGATACCTGGAGTACTGGAGTAGAAAAGCAGGATACTGAGGCAGGTTTCTGAACAGCTATTTAAAAAAGCTCTGTAGTTTGTATTTAGTCAGATTCTGATCTTGACTTCCCTCATATTTCTCCTGAACCTGATAAATCGGATGTTTCTCAAACAGCTGCCAGGTCTGTCCATTATGAATAAGTGGTGCATTCATCCAGTCAGTCGGAGGAAAGACAAATGTCTGAGAGAAGATTAAGCTATAAATCGTTCAATGTACTTTAAAGATCACTTAGATTAGACTCCTCACAATTGCACAACTGGCACAGAACAGAACTGACTCTTAACCTTCTCAAAGAAATTCAGCTGAGAGCTGTTCTTGACCTGGATGTTTGGTTCCTGTTGGTGAGAGAGAGCCGGGTGTGAGATGTGAGGTCAGAGGTCGTGTTTGAGGGTAAAGCGACAATTGAGGAGAGTTGTGGTTTAATGGAGCTTGACAAAATGATGATAGACGGAGCTGGAGGCCCGGGAGGGTTGAATTTCACAGAGCAGGGAAAGAGTGAGAGGTGTAAGCTGTTTTTAGATACACACTGAAGTCGACGTTTTCCTGAAATTTATACAGGGGCCTGTATATAAGAACACAAATGTCCAAATCACTTGCTCCATTCGATGTTTTTGAACTTTTCCACCTATTCCTCCTAAAATGCCAAAATATCAGATGTGATGGATGCAAAACTGAAAAAATAAGACATAAAGTAAACAAAAACAATATCTCAGGATGAAAAAGAGGTGCCATCTGTGTGAAGGGTTAACCACGGAAAACGTCCCGTCCCAATTTGCCAAACATTTCCCAGAGTTCATGTCTGAAAACAGCTTTGCACATCTAACGCTTTACAGAGACAGACCTGGAGTTTGTTATCATGCACGACCATTGCTGCCTGTCTGGGCCCTGTAATGGACGAGGGGGAGGGGAAAAGCGAGGACTCCAAGAGGAGGGAATGGACAAGGGTGTTGGTGGGTGTAGGTTGTAATGATGGCAGGTCGTTTATAACCTTCTGTCTCCGTTTCACTGCGCTTGCCCCATAGATTGCACACGGCTCGGACATCGATCCAGGGACTAGAGACCCATTTACTTAAATGAGAGACAGATAACAGAAAGCAATTATATTCTTCCTTGTGGAGAACGAGGCAGAGACTTCACAGAGAAAGAAGAGTTTAGGTATGCAAAGTGTTATTTATGCCACATGTGCCGGCGCTTAAGGAGCAGTATTAGAGGCCCAAAGTGGGGTCAGAGGTCGTTTTATCAGTTAAAACAGGATGTAGTGAAGAGCTGCTGAACTGTGAGCACGGAGCCTCACGGCCTGAGGGAGGTCATCAGGTCAAGTCAGAGCATCATCGCCATTGTAACGGCTCCCTGTGCTGGAATGTGACGGCCCGAGAGAGAGAGAGAGAGAGAGAGAGAGAGAGAGAGAGAGAGAGAGAGAGAGAGAGAGATATATA